TAGGAGGTAAAGGCAGACAGCTGTACTGAGTGCCTGCAGGAGTCTGTCATTTCACCCAAGATCTGCTTATACAAAGCCTTACAGGAGTGCAAAGTAAAAAAAAAATTATTATAAATACACTTTTTTTTACCTGCAAAAAAAGTGTACATTTATTTTTTTTTTGCGTTTTTTTTTTTTTAAAGGTGAACTTAAGCTTCAAAACTATTGAACTTCAATGTCATGGCAATTACCAACAAAATCAAAATGTGAGGCAATACTGAATTATTTAAAGAAATAAAGGTACATTCTACAGCTTCCCTGGGAAAGATATTAAACAAGTGTCTGCAAATGTCACTAAATTGATCCTGATAAAATGGGCTTTGCATACAGCTCAAACCTACACATCTAACAATGTTTCTTTCTTAATCCCAAACACGCCCAATTTAAAATTATTTGACTATAAACTAGTCCATCAGGGAAGATGTGTGTTTACACACTGTGGTATTTATAATCCTCAAATTCTTTTTACAAAGGATTTTATTGCAGAATAGATAACAGCAGAGAATCAAAGACAGATGCACTGACTGACAGGAATAAAACATACAAGTTTTCTGATGAATAATCCAGAGTATGTACTGATGGAAAGACAAGAAAATAAACATCGTACACAAGTGTCGTATATAAAAAAGGAAAACAAAACAATAAGTTGCAAAAATGGTAGACATTTAGAAACCAATGACATAACTATAAGAAAAAGTTGTCACTATATCAGCATACAGAAGGCGGGGAAGATGGAAAATGTAGCCTCACTGAATGCAAATAGGTACTCCATATGCAAGGCTCTCGATGGAGTCCAGCATATGGATATAGTATTGCTGGTACGGCACTCAAAGCAGAAATTACAATTAGCACAAATAGCGTAAAAACAGACTAAACAGAAGGAAAGAGAGGAACGAAGAGAAAGAAGATAAAAAAAACAAAAACAAAGATAAGGGATCCAGGGGGACCGCAACGGAAAAAAAATTAAAATAAAATATGTAAATTTTATATCGACGAGAGGGACTGGTCGAATCTCGACGGTTGGGCCGTATCAAGCCAGGGATGCCAGGTCTGCAGGAACTTTGTATGGGTGCTAACAGTATAGCCGTCAGCTTTTCGTTAACCATTATGAAGTTCATCTGATTTTTGACAGCCTCGAAGCTGAGGAGGGGAGTCTTCCAAGCCCTCGCGATCGTCAGCTTGGTAGCCATGAATAGATGCGATGCCAGCTGCCGTTCGGGACAAAGTAGGGCCACTAATGGTTTAAATAAGAGCGCTTCATACGGGTTGCGTTTAATGTCTGTGTAAAACATAGTGCGGAGAAGGGCAAAAACCTGGGGCAAGTCCATGAAATATGAACCATGGTGCCTATTTGTTGACAACCCCAAAAGCAAGTCAGGGAGTATGTCAGTCAGAGTGACCTTTGAAACTGTGGTCCCAGCTCTCTTCATGTCATTGACCAGCTCCTCCCTTGTAGTTCTGGGCTGATTCCTCACCTTTCTTATCAGTGATACCCCACGAGGTGAGATCTTGCATGGAGCCCCAGTCCAAGGGAGACTGACAGTCGTCTTTAACCTCTTCCATTTTCTAACAACTGCTCCAACAGTTGATCTATTTTCACCAAGCTGCTTGGCAATTGCCCCGTAGCCCTTTCCAGCCTTGTGGAGGTCCACAATTGTGTCTCTGGTGTCTTTTGACAGCTCTTTGGTCTTGCCCATGGTAGTAGTTGGCGTCTGACTGACTGTGGGGTGGACAGGTGTCTTTAAAGAGCTCAGACAGGTGCTAAGTTAGATTAATGAGTGGAGTAGAGGCACAATATTATTATTATTATACAGTATTTATATAGCGCCAAAGGGTTTGCTCAGCGCTGTACAATAGCAAGGGGGACAGAACATGAGACAAAACAGTAACAATACAATACACGAGGGGTTCGAGGGCCCTGCTCTTTCGAGCTTACAATCTAGGAGGGAGGGGAAGTGGTACAGGAGGAAGTGGCTGTGGGGGATGGAGTGGTGGGAGAAGTGGAGATCGGTTGTTAGGTGAGGGTGGGGCAGGCTTCCCTGAAGAGATGGGTTTTCAGGGTGCGCCTGAAGTTGAGGAGGGTAGGTGACAGTCTGATGGATTGGGGTAGGGAGTTCCAGAGGATGGGGGAAGTGCTGGAGAAGTCCTGCAGTTGGGCGTGGGAGGGGGAGACCAGGGAGCTAGAGAGTAGTAGGTCCTATGAGGAGCGAAGGGCACGGGTAGGGTGGTATTTGGGTATCAGGTCGGTTAGGTAGTTTGGGGCGGCGTTGTGAATGGCTTTGTAGGTCAGAGTTAGTAATTTAAATTTGATGCGCTGGACAATCGGGAGCCAGTGAAGGGATCGGCAGAGGGGGGTGGCAGATGTGGAACGGTTGGTGAGGTGGATGAGTCTAGCCGCTGAGTTCAGGATAGACTGGAGTGGGGATAGCGTTTGTTTGGGTAGGCCAGTGAGAAGGGAGTTGCAGTAGTACAGGCATGAGATGATGAGGGAGTGTACGAGTTGTTTAGTAGTGTCTGGGGTGAGGAATGTACGTATCTTGGAGATGTTGCGGAGGTAGAGCCTGCATGACTATGATAGTGATTGGACATGAGGTTGGAAGGAAAGGTTTGAGTCCAGGGTGACACCCAGGACTTTGGCGTGTGGGGTGGGATTGATGGTGGCGTTGCTAGTAGTGATGAAGAGGGGGGGGGGGCGCGGGCTGGGGGGAAAACTAGGAGCTCAGTTTTGGACAGGTTTAACTTGAGGAAATGGAGCGACATCCAGTCTGATATGTCGTTCAGGAGGTGGGCGATGTGGGTGGAGAGTGAGGGGGTGAGGTGAGGGGTGGAAAGGTAAATTTGTGTGTCGTCGGCATAGAGGTGATAGTTGAAGCCGTGGGAGTGTATCAGTTTGCCAAGGGGGAGGAGGTGTAGATGGAGAACAGGAGTGGTACGAGGACAGAGCTTTGGGGGACTCCAACAGAGAGGGGTAGAGAGGGGGAGGTGGCAGCATTATAGGTGACTCTGAAGGAGCGTTGGGATAGGTAGGAGGAGAGAACCAGGAGAGAGCAGTGTCCCTGATGCCAAGGGAGTGCAGTTTTGTAAGGAGGAGGGGGTGGTCGACTGTGTCGAAGGCCGCGGAGAGGTTGAGGAGCAGGAGAACTGAGTTATGGCCATTAGCTTTGGCGGTTAGCAGGTCATTAGTGATTTTAAGTAGGGCGGTTTCGGTGGAGTGTAGGGGACGGAAGCCTGACTGTAGTGGATCAAGGAGGTTATCATCAGTGAGGTGGGCGCTTAGGCGATTGTAGGCCAAGCGCTCAAGGAGCTTGGACGTGAATGGTAACAGGGAGATGGGTCTAAGGTTGTTTGGGTCAGTGGGGTCAAGGGAGGGTTTTTTGAGTATGAGGGTGATGTGTGCGTGCTTTAGGGGGGAGGGGAATGTGCCAGTGAAGAGGGAGAGATTGAAGATGTAGGCGAGGGAGCAAATGATGGGGGGGGGGGGGGTGACTGGAAGAGCTGCGAGGGGATAGGGTCCAGGGGCAAGTGGTGTGGTGGGCTTCAGTGAAGACCTTAGTGACCTCTCAGTGGTAGCTGGGCTGAAGGAGCGGAGCGTTGGGGAGGTGATAGTGTGCGGGGTGTTAGGTATGGTGGGGGGCAGTGCAGGTATGAGGTCGGAGGAGGGGAGAGTTGAAGGGGGGGGCTAGGTGGAGAGGTAGATTGTGAGTTGACAATGTCCTTACCGATTGCGTCAATCTTGTTTTGGAAATGATTGGCAATCTTGTGGGCGGTGAGTGAGGTGCTGAGTGGAGGGGGGGGGGGGGGGGGGGGGGGGCAGGGATTTGAAAGTGGAGAAGAGCCGGCGAGGACAGGTGGAGAGGGTGTTGATGAGGGTAACGTAATAGGCTTGTTTGGCAGCATGGAGGGAGGTGGTGTAGGTAAGGAAGGCAGCTTTGTAGAGGGAGAACTCACAAGGGGATCTGGTTTTACGCCATAATCGCTCCTGCGCACAACTGCGTCATTTGAGCCATTTTGTGTGGTTGTTCTGCCAGGGTTGAAGCGGTTGGGGTCTGACGTTACGCGTGGTTAGGGGTGCCAGGGAGTCGAGGGCAGCCGACAGTGAGTCGTTGTACGCAGTAGTGGCCAGGTCAGGGCATGACAGAGGAAGGATACTATTGTACAGTCAGCTGCCGCGTGGAGATGGGCCAGGTTCAGATTGCGGAGGTTACAGCTGGTGATTGTTTGACGAGCAATCAAGACTAGCCCACCTGTGGTAAAACTTTCAAAATGTTAGGAAGTAGCCTGTGAGTGTTGAGGTGTTTGGAGCTGGAAAAAAGAGTGCTGTGTGCGGCTTGCTGTTGGCTGCTTGTTTGCTGAGACACACTGTAGCTGAGCTGCTGATAACTTTTCTGGACCTTCAGAGCATTTGGGAACTTCAAAGCACGGTTGTGGGACAAGTTTACGTTGATGGTGTCCGGACGTCCTGATCTCTTATGACTAAGTCCAGGATGTGACGAAACGCGTCAAGAGGAAGTGACGTCAAACGTAAGGAGCAGGAACCGGAAGTGCCATCTTTGTTGTGGGAATCGTTGCACACACTCCGTGTGGGAACTGCCTGGTAATCCCCAGAAAGTGGGGCTTTCATCCAAATCGCATTCTAATTGATTTTAAATGTAAGCAGATTCATTAAAGTAGTATTATCTTGAATATATATGGAGCCACACCATGGTTATTTTCCATTATATGATTGGAGCCTGGTAAATTCGTGATCAAGGCTTGTGATTGAGGATGATAATACAGTGTTACTCTACTAACAAGTGAAGGAGGAGAAGGAGGAGAAAGATCTTTGAGGATTTCTACAAGTTGTATTTTAAAGGCGTTTGTTGTCCTACTGTTGGTAACAAATATTTGCCTTACTCACTAGAATAATACTCGCTGTATAAGACTACCCCTCTTCCAACGCACACCAAATAAAAATGAAAAAACATCAGATTTGATTTCAATATGGTATGCTATTTCAGTATGGTATTCCAATGATGGGGTGCTATTCCTCCCACTGACACCAATGATGAGGCACTACTCCTCCCACTGACACCAATGATGGGGCACTATTTCATCCACTGACACCAATGATGGGGCACTATTCCTCCCACTGATACCAATGATGGGACACTATTCCTCCCACTGACACCAATGATGGTGCCCCATCATTAGTGTCAGTGTGGGAGGACTAGTGCCCCATCAATCAGTGGGAGGAATAGTGCCCCATCATTGGTATCAGTGGGAGGAATAGCACCCCATCATTAGTCAGTGGGAGGAATAGTGCCCCATCATTGGTGTCAGTGGGGAGGAGGAATAGTGCCCCATGATTGGTGTCAGTGGGGAGGAGGAATAGTGCCCCATCATTGGTATCCGTGGGGAGGAACAGTGCCTCATCGTTGGTGTCAGTGGGGGAGGAACAGTGCCTCATCGTTGGTGTCAGTGGGGGAGGAACAGTGCCTCATCGTTGGTGTTAGTGGGGGAGGAACAGTGCCTCATCGTTGGTGTTAGTGGGGGAGGAACAGTGCCTCATCGTTGGTGTCAGTGGGGGAGGAACAGTGCCTCATCGTTGGTGTCAGTGGGGGAGGAACAGTGCCTCATCGTTGGTGTCAGTGGGGGAGGAACAGTGCCTCATCGTTGGTGTCAGTGGGGGAGGAACAGTGCCTCATCGTTGGTGTCAGTGGGGGAGGAACAGTGCCTCATCGTTGGTGTCAGTGGGGGAGGAATAGTGCCCCATCGTTGGTGTCAGAGTGGAGGAGGAATAGTGCCCCATCGTTAGTGTCAGTGGGGGAGAGGAGCGGCTGCTCCTTCTTCCAGTGCGGCCGCTCGATTTTCGCGGGGCGCTCGGCTCCGCCTCCTCGCCGGTGATTGGTCGCCTGTGTGCCTTTCTAGTGCTGGCGCCCAATCACCGGTGAGGAGGCGGAGCCGAGCGGCCGCGTGACTATCCAGCTGCCGAACTGAAAGAAGGAGCAGCCGCGCTTCCTGGACCGGATCGTCGTGGGACCGGAGCCAGGTAAGGTACAGCAGCCCCTCTGCCCACCCCTGTACTTGGTGTCCGTTGGAGGAGGGGGGGGGGGGCGGTGCCGCCCCTCGAAAAAGTGCCGCCCTGACACCGGCTCGCACTGGCGTATAAGATGACCCCCGACTTTTCAGGAGAATTTCAGGGGTTGAAAAGTCATCTTATACGCCGGAAAATACGGTATATAATTTTTTTTTTTTTTTTTTGTGTTGCATTAATGCACTATTCTGAGTTTCTTTATTTTGGAGGTTTTCACAAAAGTCATTTGACACAATCAACACTGCAAGAAAATTTTCAAGTTCTCCACCTTGATTTATTGAGTTTTTTTGAACTACTGAGACACTGGACTTTATGATCATTGTCAGTTTGTTTAAATAATTATCACTTGTAAGGGGTGTGTTTTGTGTTTTAGTATAGGTGGAAATTTGTTGAAAGAGGGAAGATTCTTTTTGGAATAATTTATTTGATTTTAAACTTTCAGGGGTTGAAAGTTTTTTTCTAATCAGAAATTAGAGTGGGTTTAGGGTTTTTGTTTGATATCATACTCACAATTGTATCTATATGCTAGTTATTGTGACTATGGAACCTAAGGGGTTAATCCACATTGTGTAAAAAGGCTGTTTGATCCTGTCTTCTCTGATCTTCTCCTTCTACTGTCCGCAATCTATCTGCTGATAATACAGAGCTCTAGGAGTCACTCTGCACTTGCTCAGTTTAGTGTGTATTGCTAGAGAGTTTTTTTTTTTCTTTGAGAGGGTGCAAGTGATCTGCACAAGGCCAATTAGCACTGTCCAGACAGAGGGTCAGGGGTTATGCAGCCTCACAGGAGAGTCATAGTAGAATGAAAACTCCTCCTTCAAGCTTTAACCAGTGCTCACATGGACACTGATTAAAGACACAAGCTATATATTACGGATGAGAAAAGGTACTTAGGAGTTTATATTCACTAAAATAATTGCATTTCCATGCTGTGTATACCATGGGAGGTCAGATATTGTGAATGCAGGGTCTTGGGTTTAGTAACACTTCAAGCAGTTTTATGTACTGTCCAAAGACATAGGAGGTTCACCAAAATGAAAACAAACTAATTGAACGACTGTGATCTCTTGTTTACCACTTGCCACCTCCCCTTTTCCATTCTGCTAAACATGTACACTTAAAACAAACCAAAATATATGACACGTTTAGGAGACCGTCAATCGATAAATATGTTATCTGGCAAATGGATCCTGAAAGCAAAAAAACACAACACTTTTCAGCCCCCTTAGTAGAAAAGAGCAAAAAAGTGATAACAAGTAAATCATAATAAAATAATTTTAAAACATAAAACACACAAATTGCAGTAGGGGCACATACTTACAGTAAATCCTAATTAAGCATTACACAAGATGGTATCAAAGTGTTTTGAGACTAGTTTTGTAACACGCCATGTAACAGGCAGCAGCACAAAGGTTTCACAGGAAGCAACGACCTTCATAAGTCAGTGTTCCAACAGACATCGTCCTGTGTACATTGGGAGCTGTGCAACTGGTGCTATTCTGACCACATGCGCTACCACACGTCTACTTTTTCAGCATGTTAGAACAAACAGCAAATGTGAAATTCTGCGTGAAACTGGGCAAATCTGCCACAGAGACGTTTGACACGATTCAGCACGTTTACAGCAATGAGTCGTTCAAGGTGTTTTGAGTGGCATGCGCACTTCAAGAGCGGAAAAACATCACTGGAATACGATGAGAGAACAGGAAGACCTTCCACGAGCTCAACCCCCGAAAATGCCCTCTTCCCAAAGATGAAGATCCAGCTCGAAGATTGCCATTTTGACAACATTGCAGTGATCTAGAGATTTGCCCAGTTTCACACAGAATATCACGCTTGCTCTTTGTTCTAATTTGCTGTCCAAGATGAAATAGCAGATGCGGTAATGCATGAGGTCAGAAAATCTGTTACGTGTTACAAAACTAGTCTCGAAACTCGATAGCACCTCATACACCTCTGCACATCAGGTAGAAGAAACATATTAAATCCATTATTTTACCTTAATCCTGATTCATGGCTTGTAACAGATTTACTTTTTGTATTGATTGTATTACCTATCTACAATTTTTTTATTTGACCCAATAGCCTTGCTTTAAAATGTTTTTCCCTCCCAGACCAGCTGAAGACTTACAGTCATTTTACTAGGAAAAACCGAATGTCGAGAAATCTAAAATATATGCACTTGTTTATCATTCATGAGGCGCAGATTTATGTATTAAAACCTACACATATGTGGTGTCCCTGTGGGCTACATTGGTAAAAAGTGTCCTTTATTAAACTAAAGCTAAATTTTTTGGCATTTGTGACCATTTCTCTGCCTATTATAAAGATATATTAAAAGTCATTTTGGTATACAGTACAGAGCAGTTAAAATGTTATTGTTGAAGAAACCACTCTATACCAAAAGTTTAAACTTTAGTCTAATCACCTGGGCATAAAAGAGTTAAGAAGCTCTGTTTTCCTCAGTATAGGGCCAACCTGTTATCAAAATCATTTTGACGAGACCTGATTTTGATGCATTAGTGTGTCATTAAACCCACATCATCAAACATTGTAATAGGCCTGGTTCACACCTGTGTTTCAGTGCTTTTTGCGTAATCACACTACAGTTAATTTAACATGGTTTCTTATGGGACACGTTCCCATCTATGCTTTTTTTTGCTGCTGGGTTTTTGGAACCGCTTCCCGACCGCCCTATAGCAGAAGTACTACTACAGGGCGGAAGGAATGAGCAAAATATATATATATATATATATACTTGATTTGCATTTACGGATAAGGGGCGCACGCTCCCTACCAGCACTGCTATTGGCTCCTAGGCATGTCAATCACCAAGTCCCAGCCGGGACTCTGAGATCGTCGGGGGGGAGCTGACAGGGGAGAGGTCTGTGTGTAAACAACACAGATCTCTCCCCTATCAGCTCCAACATGCTGCACAGCAGAGCAATACAAAGCAGCATATTTACATAGTAAAACACAACACAGCACACTGTTAACCCTTTGACCGCCCCAGATGTTAACCCCTTCTTGCCCAGTGTCATTAGTACAATGTCAGTGCTTTTTATTAGCACTGATCACCGTATTAGTGTCACTGGGGATGTCAGTGGCAGTTGGTCAGTTTCCCCCCAGTGTCAGAATGCCTGCAATTACGAGTAAATGAAATAAAATAAAAAATCCAGTATATATACCGCTATTTGTAGACACTATAACTTTCACGTAAACCAATTAATTTACACGTATTGGGATGTTTTGGTTTTTTTTTAGCAAAGACATGTATCAGAATACATTTTGGCCTAAATTTATGAATAAATGTTATTTAAAAAATTTTTTAATGGATATGTTTTATAGCAAAAAGTCAAAAATATAGAGGTTTTTTTTTTTCAAAATTGTCAGTCTTTTTTTGTTTATAGCGCAAAAAATAGCAATGCAGAGATGATCAAATACCACCAAAAGAAAGCTCTATTTGTGGGAAAAAAATTACAAATTCCATTTATGTATAACATTGCATGACCGCACAACTGTCAGTTAAAGTAATGCAGCGCCGTATAGCACAAAACAGCCAGGAAGAGAGGTAAATCCTTTGGAGGGCAAGTGGTTAATATCATAAATTTAAATAAATATGAATTTAATCTCAGCACCTTCGAACAATAGGCTGCTTTCACACTGAGCAGTTTTTGCAGCACTTTTGCGTAAAAAAAAAAAAAAAAAAGGCAAAAGAAATCTCAAGAAAAATACATCCCTTTAAAAAGGTCCATTATGCTTCCCTTACGGTGTTAAAAATCCTGCTTGCCGCTTTTTTGGTGCATATTTGGCAAGTAAAAAAACAAAAAAAAAACAAAAACGTGCCTCCCCATTGAGGCCTGATTCTCGCCAATGTGTTTTTTAGGGCTTTTTGCAGAAACACACTACAGTCCATTTAACATGGTTTCCTATGGGACACATTCACATCTATACCTTTTTAGACTGCTGCATTTTTAGAAAGGGTCAGGGATTTGTTTTTTTTTTTAAACGCAAAATGTTGTGTTTTTGGTTCAATAAACTTCCATGGAGATGCTTCAGAAAATATATGCAGTGCATTTTTGATGCATTTGCTGCATTTTTTTCTGCGTTTTTAATCTGCTTAGCAACAAGTTGGCCAAAGAAAATTCAAAACACACAAAAAGCGGGGGTCGTGGCTTGACCGCAGCCAAGATGGCGGCTTAACACAGGAGCTCCAGCACAGGGCGGAAAACAATAGTGGCTCGCAGCTTACAGGGGCTTCATTCACTCACCCCAACTTGGTGGTTCGTCTCCCCTACCTCCAGGTAACATGCCCAGAAAGCAAAAAGAGGGTCATAAACCCCAGAAAATTACGGCATACTTCTCCCAGCCACAGCTGCAGCGTGGCCAAGATGGTGTCGGCTCACATTCCTCTTCTCCTCCAGAAACTCCTCGTTCCCTACACAGGGATCAAAATGGATTCTATGTTAACAACATAGAGTCGGCCACAAAATCACAAGCC